TTTTAGAGGTCCAAAGATGTGCAAATAGAGGCATCTTGAGGCTAGGTAGTGGATTTCTGGGAGGACGCGACCGAGCATGCATGCTTCCCTCCCCTCGAGGCCATTTTAACTGCTTTACTTAGTTGGTTAATTTGCCGATTTTTGTAATTAATTAGTTAATGTGCTTAGCTAATTTAATCCATTTTTGTAATAATTTAATTAGCTTAGATTAACTAGTTAGTTCAAATGTGTTGTAATATTTAATTAGCCAAGTTAGTTAATTAGTCGTTTTATAATAAGTAGCTTAGCTTAGCTTATTTATTCGGACCCTCCGTTGAGAGGGAAAATGTTGTAATAAGTGTGAGTGCGTGTGTGAATGTCTTCCAACCCTACGTCTTTCTCCCTTTTATTTACCCGCTTTCAGTGGTTAGATTAGGGCATGTTTCGATTAGCATACCTTATGCTTGCATGCGTGCATCATTCATTTGTCTTGCTTGCACCGGGCTCGGCTCATCATTCAAACTGCATCGTATTTCAATACCTATTTGAATACGTGTATCAAATTGTTGCATTCATATGCCATTTTAGATAACCGAGCCTATTTAGTTGCATTTTTGTATGTGTTGCATTAGGCATTGCTAACATAGCTAGGATCATGCATTGATTTCTAACTAGCTTCTTTTTTGGCTCGGAGTACACTGTAAGTGTTTACGCTTTAGCATACTTGCATGAGTGTGAGTGTTGCCATGTTAGCATGCTTGCCATGAGGCTATTTGCTTAAGTGATTAACTATATGAATGCCTGTGGGTGAAGGCTTGATTGCTTGAATTAGAACAATTCATCAAATGTATGTTTTAAGCCCACTTTGCGAAGTGGCAAATCATGTTGTTTTAAGCCTACTTGAGGATGGCAAATCCACGCTTTAGCCTACTTGTGAGTAGCACTTTCAAACCATTTTCAAAAACAAACACAAGTTGTTTTGTTCCAATCCGCATGATTGAGTTTATACTTGTATGCTGTCCGCATCACATAGTAAGCTAGCTAATAACCGGAACAAGAACACATATGTTTTCAAAAATAACATATCATGATTAGTAGAGGCCGATCCTTTGATCGGACGAGTGGGGGTGCTCATTTCATGACCTTCCCCTTTTGTACCCAAGTTCCCGAGCTGAGGCAACTTTGGTAATGACGGACACGTAGTCTTAGGCATGAGTCAGAGTTTCCTAAATTTTCCAAAATAAAACATTTAGGTGGCGACTCTGAAATCTGGCAAAGCAGTCCATGTTTGGCGCTTTTTGATAAAAATCGATTTTCCGAAACGATTTGCCAGATTTGAACTCTTTGGTGATTTATCAGTCTTATATTGCACTTTGTGAGATTAGATTCAGAACCGTGACAGGAGTCCGAATTGTAGTAGCTATGAACCCAATTTGTGCCCTCTCTGAAAGGGGGACCGCGCGGAGAGAGTTCTGGGGCGGTCTACACCAGGTTCTTTAGAGCCAAAATGAACACAATAGTGATAATTAAACTGTGTTTGGTGATATATTGTGTGAGTTCTATTGTCTTGGTTTACACAAATGGTTGAACAGTTCAAGACATAATGTTTACTGATTAGCTAATAAATCCGATAGTGTCTTACAAGGGAAGGTTCAAAGCCAAACACTACCAATCATTTGCAGAATATTCTCAATTTCTGTACTTTCTGTAATTAGATCCTGTTGTTGCATTTTTTCTCTGTCAAATTTCATTCAGGTGGGGGATTGTTAGAAAAATATGGTTTTTATAGGCTTATTTTGGGTTAACTTTGAGCCTAAATTTGAGTAGGTTCCAAACGTCTTTTGGGATAGGTCCAAAGCGGTGGCGTGTTCCTTGTCGCGTAGCACATCACACGGTGAAGACGGTTTGTCAAAACCATTTATGAGTGAATGGGAAGTTGATATCATTTTCGAGTTCGTGGAATAGGAAATTGAAGAAGTAAAATGTTGGTTTTTTTGAAATGGTTATCCCACATTAAAAACTTAAGAGAACTTTTGTGAGTATATAAGTTCTAGGTGACAACACTTGGGTTAGGCCTCAAGGGGCACCCCAAGTTTGTAAAAAGGAGAAGTTATGGACAAAATCGACCTTAGACCAAACCACCACATATGCGCGCGCCTGCCGCCGCTGTCCGTCCAACTGGCCGAACCGAGCCGGGTGTGGGTTGGGTCGGTTCTAACATTAATTTTTTGGATAAAAATTTATTTGAATTTTTTTCAAAAATTCTTGCAGGAAAAATTAATTTTCCTAAACAAAATTTTCTGTCCAAAACAATTCCTCTTTCGATCCAGGTTCAAACAGACCAAACAGATTTGGTTTTTTCAAGACATGTTTTAAATAGCTAGCAGTTTCCAATAGATTGAAACTGCTAGCAGTTATCTGCTCAAACAGTTACTGCACTTGTTCATTTTAAAATAGATCTGTTCGGGTTTGAATTTCATACTTGTTCGGCCTTATATATACTAGGCCATTTCCAGTAGTCAAGACATTCTGAAAATCATCTTCTTGCATTCCTTTTGCTCTCTTGCAGAGGTATATTCTTCATATTATTTTAGGAAAAAACTCAGAGAGTATAGAACATAAGTTTGGTTCGCCGTACAAATTGTTTGGAGTGCTACTACAATTTGTGAAAAGATCATTGTATCCTGGGAGATAGACGCCATTTATCCGTAAGCACCGAATCGGGGCGAATCTGTCTTAAGGACAGAGTGTCATACACTCAACTTGATCGTTTTATTGTTAAGTTGTTTTGGTAAATAAATTCTGTAAGTAATTTATTTTTATTTGTTTGATTTGATTTCACATTATTTATTTTACACAGAAGATTGTTCCAACAATCTTAAGACAGATTCGAATTATTCTGTTTATATAGAATTTTTTGTTTGTTTCATTTTCTTCTTTTCTTCTTCTTATAGAAATTATTTTTTTTGGTTTTACAAAAATAATATCCTAGTTGGAAAATACAAATAGTAGTAATATGTTGTTTGACAAATAGTAGTAATATATTGTTTATTTTCTTTGACAACTAATAGTAATATACTGGTAGTCATTAACAATTCAGAATATTTATTTGTAAAGTCAGTCATAAATTAATTTTGGTTTTTAGAAATAATTTCTGAGTTTTTCATTAATTAAAATTCTGTTTTTAACATTTTAATTTTTGAAGTGTTACAGAAATATTTTTCTGTGTGGAATTAATTTGTTTAAATAAATATTTTTATTTTCAAATTAATTGGAAATAAAAGTTACAATTCTTGTTTCTTTTATTCTTACCGAACTAAATTATGTGTTTATGGTTTAAATTATTTGTGTAGTATAAAATTCTAATTATAATTTTGTTTTATAATTTAGAATTCATGGCTATTGAAACTAATGCTCAAACAAGTACTGGTATGGTGGCTGCAATTGCTCCAACCCGTCCTCCTGTTATGACTATGCTAGTTAATCATGGTGAGAAGTCAGAGAAGTTCTTAGGAACTAATTTTAAAAAATGATAGCAGAAAATGCTGTTTTATCTTACTACTCTAAACTTGGTGTGTTTCCTCCATGAGAATGCTCCTACTATAAAAGAGGATGAAACCGATCGGCAAGTGGTTGCTGGGGGTTGATGCCTGAAAACATGCTGATTTCCTTTGCCGGAACTACATCTTGAACGGACTTGACAACACATTATACAACGTCTACAATCCTATTAAGATGGCAAAGGAACTTTGAGAGTTTTTAAAGAAAAAATACAAAATAAAATATGCTTGTAGTAACCTAGATTTTTTTAAAAAAAAAAAAATAGCTAGTGCATAATTTAATTGAGCAAATTTTCAAATTTGAGTGCTGTGTAAATTCTGTACGAAAACAGTTCTATTTTGACCGGTCGTCCACCGGATGTCACCCCGGACATCCTACCAAGATGTTCCGCTTGGTCGACCTCCTGTGTGATTGTGTTCTACTATTTGCTTGTTGTTTGTTGCTGCACTTGACTCACTCAGAGAGAGAGAGAGAAAGAAAGAGCATGGAGGCATAAAAACAGAGCATTGGGCAATTCAAAAATAAAATCAGACTTCCCAAATTTGCAATCCCAGACGATGAGAGGATTATTACCGTTGGAAGCAGAGACTCCATAGAAAGATTCAAATCAGAGCTCTATCAAATTGAAATACTTAAACCCATCTACACATTTACTAACAAACCCAACAACAAATAGAACCCATAAACCCGTAAGCTTCCTCATAGCTGTGTCAATCAATCCCACCCAAAAAATCTCAAAATCCAATCACTTGCCTACAACACTGAAAATCTGTATATAGAATCATATATGGAAACAAAGTTAAGAATTTTAGAGAAAGAGAAAGACAGGAAAGAGAGAGAAAACGAGATCTTTGAAACTGTTAAAGCAGTCACTCCATTGATAAGAGAGAAAGGTAAGCGAAGTATAACCCTCAGAACCAGGCTTTCAATGAGGGTCTTGGTGTAGGAGATGGAGTTCTGGAGATTAGCTTTTATCCTTTTCATTTTAAATAAAAGAGTTAAAAATAATATTTTGATCAAATAATATTTTAAGAAAAATAATAGGGCAAATTACATATACACCCCTCGAGGTTTGGCTAAATTACAGATGCCCCCTTGAGGTTTGAGAAATTACGAATTCCCCCTGAATGCTATATTTGCATAAGAAATTAGGGGGTAATTTGTTATGAAATATAAACCTCAGGGGGCGGGATGTAATTTCTAAAACCTCAGGGAGTATCTGTAATTTAACCAAATCTCGAGGGGTGTATATGTAATTTGTCCAAAATAATAGTTAAAATACAAAAATAAATTTTAAGTAATAATTTAACTTAAAATTTGCTGAGACGGATGCACGTCATCATTGTTTGATTCCTTTATTACTAGCTTTTACTGATTGGCATTTGTCCAAAAAATATAAAAAATAAAAATTGTAATTACAGCAGGAAAAATAAAAACATTTGTAGGGGTGCAATACACGCGTTGTCTTGAAACACTGGTTCGTCGTCCTCCTTTCCTTTGTATCCAGCTCAAAACAATACACGCAGATCATCATATCACCACACCACGCTGTTGTTTCTATCCAAATCCATATAAAAAATTCCTCATACAGTCAAAATCCCAATTACAAACAACAAAAATTGAAACCCCAAATGGCTTTTCTTCTCCATCTTCAACCATCCCTCAAATTTCCAAACTCCTCTCATCCCATTCCCACCAGACCATCATCGTCCCGCCTTTCTTCTCCAACCAACTCTTCAACTCAAAAAAATTCAATCGATTTCAGCAAATGGGTCACTGGGTTTCGATCCAAATCTTTGAATTTCGCTCTCTCAACCACTCTGTCCCTCGCTTTGTCACTCACTGGTCAGTCTATCTTTACTTGCTTCTGGTCCTTTTCAGCTTATCTACAATACCACATGCTTTTGTCTTTAATTTCTTAAGATTTTGGACTTTGGAAATGGGTTTTGCACTGTCTTGGAAAATTGATGATGAGCATTTCTAATCTCTATTCTATAAGGCAATGTTTATGGGGAAGATATACTGTTTAGAAATTCTATTTCATGTTGTATGACTTTCTTTCATGGTTCCCGTAGTTTATTTTTCATTATGTTTATCAATTGTTTCAACATCTTAGAAGAAAGGCTCACACATTCTCTAATTGCATTGGAAATTATTGGGAAAAATTCTTCTGAGCCTATACACTCTTTAGGTTGCTTAGAGGAATTCATTATCAATTATAGTATTTTGTAGCATACAACATTTGTTAATTATCAATTTAGAACCGAAAATCTTAAGTTTCTTTCTAAATCAACTAATGGCAAAGAAAGATTATGATACTCCATACTAATTACTGATTCATTGAGATCAATTTTAAAAATACCTGCATTATTGATTGAATTTTAGAAATACCCTGAAACTTTTGACACTGTTTGAGGTGTATTTAACCAATCAATTTCTTTAGTTTGGAACAGCAGTACCAGAGTTAAAAATATTTGCATTGTTTTGGAGAAGAACGGCCATAGAGCTTATGGCTGATAGAATGAACAGCAGTACCAGTGCTCCTTGTTGATCCAATGGCCAATAAACAACACTTTTTTAATTGGTTGCTAGGCAGCCAAATAAATGGTACTTATGGCTGATAGAATCATTTATACAATTGGCTGAATTTCTTGACCCAATTTTTTGATTGGTTTGTTTTGAACTCTAAAGCTTGTGTTTGCTTCTGATTGCTCAAGTGTGTCTTGGGGCCCCTCTTAAGCTTTAATTAACACTTGATGACCATGGTGTATCCCTTTTACTGGAACTTTGTTTTAACACTTGATGACCATTGTGTATCTCTTTACTGGAAGTTTTTTTTTTTTTTTTTTTTTTTAATTTATATATATACAGACTATTTTCAACCTTGAGCATAATTTAGTAGAACTATTTAACTTTTGTACAAATCTTTAAACTTTCAAAATGCTCAGAAATGTGTTGAATTATTTTTTCTTCAGCGCCTATATTGTGCACAATGTGTTGGAAGCATCTTTTTCTCCTAAATTAGATTGCAGAATTCAAAAAGAATGAACCGGATTTTGTAGGAGTTGGATTTGCTGAGGGAAAAGTTGGGGTTAACAAGCCAGAATTGCTTCCGGAAGATTTTAGTACGGTTATTGACGTAGCTGGATTCCTTTCGGATGGCCAGGTGTGGTTTTTTGCTGTTTCATTAAATTGTAATGCCAGCATTAGTTAAGTACTGGCTGCTTATTCAACAGTCCACAACTCCCATATAAAAATTCTAGCCGAGGGGGAGGGCTTTCGCTTGAAATGGTTTAGCAGGATCCAGTTTAATAAGCTGTTAATTTTTCATTATAAATTGTGATGTTTCACTGAATAAACCTTATTACTCTTTTAAGAGTAATGATATACAAACAAAAAATTCATAAATAATTTTCATATAGAATGATGTGGTTTAATGTCTACCTTCCATTTTAAACAAAGCACCCATTAAGATGAGTTTATTTACAAGCATGGCGTTGCTACATTATTCTTGTGAAGCTTTTTGTATGAATTTTATGTATGAATAGAGTTTTCCTTTTAGAAGAATGTTTGGTTGTGACCTTGAAACTAATGTGTTAGTGGGGTGGTTGGTGTATGACAGCGGGAGGTGGTGGTGGTGGTGGTGGTGGTGGGGCAGTGGCAGTAACAAGGCGGCAGTGGTGGAGGTGGTGGTAGGATGGTACTAGCAGCTGTGGTGGTGATGGTGGCATTAGTAAGATTTTAGTTTAAAAAATGTTTTCCACCTTTCAAAGTGAAGATGTTTTCCGCTTAAATAAAAGTTCGTTTTCCATTGACCACGGAAAAAGTTTTTGGTTGACTTTCGTTTTTTGTTGTATCAAATGCCAAAAAATATGAAAAACGTTTTTCACTGATACAAACATAGCACAAGTTTTTTGGGTTAGTAAGTATCTCAGCATTTCATGTGGGTGAAGATTTGAAATTCTCATTCAATAAACAGGAAATATTTTTCCATTTTTGCTATTGTTGTACAAAATACAAATGCTCTGCAGGAGAAAAGAATTTCTCAAGAGATTGCTGATATCGAGAAGGATACTGGATTTAAGCTGAGAGTTTTAGCTCAGAACTATCCTGATACACCTGGTATCCCTTATTGGATTTAAATAGCTCAACTTCTGATTAATTTTTTTAACTAAATAACTAGCACCTCATTTTTTAGGTCATAATTGAAATCATTGGATTTCTCAATATTTTTCAGGGTTGGCGATTAAAGATTATTGGCAAGTGGATGATAGAACTGTTATCTTTGTCGCTGATCCCACCTTCGGTAGAGTACTCCAATGAACTACTCTCTTCATCCGGTATCTGCCACAAATGACCTATGCATTTTGGTCGTTATTGATCAGGCAATATATTAAACTTCAACGTGGGGGCTTCAGTGGATTTAGACATACCACGTAGCTTCTGGAGCCGTTTGGCGGGGAAATATGGAAACATATTTTATTGGAAAGAGAAGGTGAAGCTTCCTCTTGCCACTTTGCTCCATATTTTGTTTTTAGGGTTGTTTGCTTTATACAAGATGAAGGAAGAATTTTTTTTTTTTTTTTATCCGTGTCCATCAAAACAGTTGGAATGTTTCAGTTTCCTAGGAAGTTGAAATGAGACTTTAGTGTGACACTGACATTCCAATTTTCCTACTGAAACATACTCAAATGCACCTAAACACTGCGAAACATACCAAAAACAATGAATTGTTTCAACACTTGGGAAGAATACCCAACAATGTTCATTTATACTTTCCTCTTTTTGTCCACAAAAATTTGAGAACATAGAAAAATCGTAAATATATTAGAATTTGCGAAACTAGGAAGATGAAGAGGATAAGATAAGCAAGTATGATTTACCTGTTCTTTGTCTTTTCTTTGTTACCACAGTACATTTTTTTAAAAAAAATTTATTTTATAAAGATTGTCACCAACACTGTTTTGTCTTTTTTTTTTTTTTTTTTTTTCATCGCTACTACAACTATAAATTTGCATTTTTCAATATTTTTTCTTACAAGGGCAAACCCCCTTCTCCAACTAAACATTTAAACCTTTTGTTTGAGGTTTTAATATTCATATGCTTCACCATGTTCAATTATCTAATTGAAACAATACACTGAAATAAAATTTTGATCGTTATACATGATTTATTTCAAAATTATGTTTTCTGATGCATGAAACAGGGGGAAGATGCATCTATTGAAGCTGCCGTCATGGCAATATCAAATTGCTTGAGAGAACCAGTGGGCCGAAACAATTGCTCAGAGGTTCAATAATTTCACCATTTGCATACTACAGAACTCAGCTTCCTAGACAAAGTTATTTTGCTTCATTACTCCACGCTAATCTTTCGTAACCCATTCTGTAATTCTTTCTAGTATGTATTGATAAGAAAGAAGATTATGCGAGAGATAGACAAGGGCTAATAGAAAGGATTATTATGCGAATTTGGTCTTAATTAGTGATATTGAAATTTTAAAGTTGTGTAAAAAGCTTGATTTTACTCGTCGCTCTTGTTCACAACTTGACAATGATTCAAATGTTGGTCCGGCCATTTAAAAGGAGTCGTGGGCTTAAATCCTTATTCAATGAATTCCTACTTTTTTCTTTCTTGATTGTTTGTTTTGATTGATGTCTTCATTTCTTCATCGAAAATCTTTAACCTATTTCTGAGGCCCATTTTTAAGATCCAAACGCAGTGTTAAGACCAATGGTAGAGAAGTGATAGGATGGTGATGTTTTCCAACTCCTAAATAATGAGTTATGATCACTGATATAGTAAGGGCTTGGCCCGTCCCCAGTCTGGACTTGGGCCGGGCCATTTTTACACTCGTATTGGGCAGTTGGCTTGGGTTTGGATGCTTTACCTCATTAGGATTAAAGTCCAAAATCTGAACTCTATTTGGACTTGGCTCTTTTCTTATTTTTTTATTGGGATTTTACAAAAAT